TCTTGTTGTGTTCAGTGATCACCCACTTTTTAGGCATACGTGGATTATTTCGCTTCACAATGTCTTTATGAGCACTTAAGTAGGGGATGACTTCTTCACTCGTTATTCAATATGTACAAATGCGCTCGAAGTACTTCATCTCGACACATTGTCACAACTTTTGCACCTCGAGTTCCTCTACCAAGACCTATTCAATGGTAACGAGTCTTAGGTAACCCTATAGCTTCAACTTCTGATAAGTATTGTGTGCAAAACTCAATAGCTTCCTCTGCAATATATCTTTGAACAATTGATGCTTCAGGACGATATTGGTTCTTCACATACCCTTTTAATATCTTCATGTATCGCTCAATAGGGTACATCCATCGTAAGAAAACTGGACCACAGATTCTAACTTCCCTGGCTAGATGAACAATCAAGTGAACCATAATATCAAAAAATGATGGAGGAAAGTACATCTCAAATTGACATAATATGACTGCAGCCTCATTCTCTAACTGATCCAAAACATCCGGGTCCATAACTTTACTACATATGGCATTAAAGAAAAAGCATAATCGAGTTAAGGAATATCTAACATTCTCTGGTAAGATACCTCGAATAACCACAGGTAGAAGTTGTTGCATCAATACATGACAATCATGAGATTTTAACCCAAGCAATTTTAGATCTTTCATAGATACAAGTTTCTTCACATTGGAAGAGTAACCAAATGGAACCTTCACACCTCGTAAAAACTCACAAAAACTTCTTTTCTCTTTTTTAGACAGTGTGTGACATGCTGGAGGCAAGTATGTTCGGTTACCATGAGGTTGAGGAGCTAATTGTTCTCTTATACCCATTTCAACCATGTCCAAACGAGCATTGACACCATCTTTTGTTTTTCCTTGAATGTTAAGGAGCGTTCCAATGATACTGTCACACACATTTTTCTCTACATGCATGACATCTATACAATGCCTCACATCAAGAACCCTCCAATATGAAAGAACAAAAAGGATTGACATTTTCTTCCATATACCTGTGGCTTTCTTTTGCGTCTTTCCAAACTCACACGAAATCGCACTTGCTCGTTGATATACTTCTTCCCCACTTAAAGGTGTTGGGGCTGCATCATTTTCTTGACACCCGTTAAATGATTTTTTTAATTTACGATATGAATGGTTTGAATGAAGAAATCTTCGGTGTCCAAGGTACACTGTTTTCCTTCCATGTTGTAGTTGATAGTGACATGTGTCTTCTTCACATATCGGGCAAGCTTTATGTCCCTTTGTGTTGTAGCCACTCAAATTACCATATGCTGGAAAGTCATTAATTGTACAAAATAACATTGCACGCAACTTGAATAAGTCACCTGTGTACCTATCAAACACATCAACACCTTCCTCCCACAACATCTTCAACTCTTCAACCAATGGGCTTAAAAAAACATCAATGTCATTTCCAGGTTGTCTGGGACCCGAGATCATCAAAGATAGCATCAAGTACTTACGTTTCATACACAACCACTGAGGTAAGTTGTAAATAACTAACACCACAGGCCATGAACTATGTTTATCGCTTAAATTTTCATATGGATTCATTCCATCTCGTAGCAAGTCCAAATCTAATGTTTCTTGGATCATTACCAAAATTCTGGAAGATGGAATCAATTTTTTTCCATTGCAATCCATCTCGCTGGATGCCTCAACCGACCATCTTTAATACGACTATCTCGCATGCCATCTAGTGAGCTTTGCATCATTTCCATTAGTGAATAATCGTTTCAACCTTGGAACAATGGGAAGATACAATAACACTTTTGTCGGGGTACCCTTCATTACATCATTGTCAGAATCACCATCCTTCTTCTTGTATCGTGATTCCCCGCATTGTGGACATTCGTGAAAGTTCTCAAATTCTTTCCTGTATAACACACAATCATTCAGACATGCATGAATTTTTTGGTACTCCATACCCATTGGACACAATATCTTCTTAGCATCATAATTGCGGGTTGGCAATGTGTTACCTTCGGGGAGCATGTCACTCAACAACTCAAGCAATTCACGTGAAACTTTTATCAATCCACCCATTCTTTGCCTTCACATTGAACAATTTTAGTACCGCCGACAATCGTGTGAACTTAGTACAATTTGTATACAAAGGATTTTTTGCATCATTGGACAACTTCTCGTACACATGTGTATGTTGGAAGGCATCTTGTCCAAGCTCACGAATCATTTCCTCCAACTTGATCATCCATCTCTAGATCAACTTCTTCTTTGTCTTCTACACTTGGCATGTTTAATAATTCATCATGTCATGTCCACTTTATGTAACTCTTTAGGAAACCATCACAAAGAACATGTTCCCGAATAACTTCAGTCGGTAATCTGCGCTCATTCAAGCAGTTAACACAAGGGCAATAGAATCTTCCATCATTATCCGGAACATTCATCTTAGCAAATTCAAGGAATTGTTCTACTCCACTCTCATATTCATTTGTTGTTCGTCTATAATTGATCCAACTCCGATCCATTGTTACCTTCTGTCACATAACACAACATATAAGTATAGTTTGAGGATGATAACATCCAACATGTTCTGCTGAAATTGCGATGTCACGTGATTGGATATTTTAATCTTTCAATAGGAAGTTCTGTCCTACAATGGATCATTTCATGACTGACTCCAATCAAGGCTAACCGTATTGTCTCACATTAGGGTGAGCATAAGCGATGATAGTTTTCGCTTAAAATGAAATAACTACATTATAATACAAATATAATTTTCAAAATCAAAATCACGAAAGAATGCCTACAGAAACACATTCAAATGACTAAACTACTTACAATACGTCTCTAAATTAGCTAAAGGCACCCGTGAACTTCCATCTCTTGACAGCATTATTACATACCAGATTCAAAAATGTAAACCTACAATGGCTAAAGCAAGCATGAAAACTTACCTCTTGAAGACCTACAGAGGTGGCAGGTGGCGTGACGTGCAGAGCTGGGTGGGGAGAAACGTACACAGGCGACGGGCACCAACGACAGTAGCAGCAGGCGGCACGACGTACAGAGTTGGCAGGTGGCGTGACGAGCAGAGCTGGGTGGGGAGAAACGTACAAAGGCGAAGACGTTCGTAGAAGATACAGAGAGAACGGGGAGCTCTGCTATGGGTGAAGTGAGAAATGGAGTGTCGCGGCAGGTGTAAAACAGAGGATATTATGTCGGTTGCTCTCACACCCGTCATCAAATACACTTTCTATGTCGGTTAAAATTTAACCGACATAGAAAGTTCACTTTCTATGTCGGGTAAAACTTAACCGACATAGAAAGTTCACTTTCTACGTCGGGTAAATTTTAACCGACATAGAAAGTAAACTTTCCATGTCGGTTAAGTTTTAACCGACATAGAAAGTGAACTTTCCACTTACTATGTCGGTTAAAATTTACCCGACATAGAAAGTTTATGATTTTATTACAAAATTGCCACCGCGCTACATATTATGACGGGTGGACTACGACCGTGATAAAAACTCGTCGTAGAATGCTATTTTTCCACTAGTGTATAGATATGTGAATAGAATATTACATAATTAATATATAATTTTTCATTTTGTATAGCTATTTTTGGACTACGTAATTGTAGCAATAATTCAATTAATCAATACTGTTCAATATGATCGTGTTTTAAAGATTGCTGAAAGTCTAGATACATTTTGTTTATATGTTTACACAATTTTGGAGCCTTAAGACAAGATTTCACTTATTTTATATAAATGAAAGATCAATAATTTAAAGGAGAAGAGGATAAAATTTTATAATTATTAAATATTGTTTTGTTATCTTTTATTTAAATTAAATATTATTTTTTATATATTATTTAAAATAAAAAATATTATACTATTATTTCAATTTAGATGATTATAATTGATATTTTATTAATATTATCTCTTGTATATAAAAATAGATTAAGAAATTAAAGTTTCAACTAATATTATATAATGTCGTAATATTCTAAAAGATTAGTTTTGAAAATAATGAAGCTGCGGTGCGAAAAGCAACATATGAAAAGACAGTGAGCATTAGATTTTAATGGCAGACAAAATATATATATCCGCAACGATTTGCCACCTATTTTTTTATATATATATTCTATCAATGAGGCAATGGTCTCACATCTCTGCTTTAATTGAAATGGCATAGATGAATGATCCGAAGATTTGCTAAAAAACATCTAAGGACCAGGCTATATTAGGGATCGATCGAAAATTGAAATAGGTTGTTGTTGTTGTTGAGTTGACAATGAAATGGAAGAACATACTTTTGTGAGAGTAGAGATTGGAAGTGGTAAAGAACAAATGCAGAAGCTGTGGTTTGATGCATGTAAGCAGGATCACCCCATGTTTACATTATTATTTGAATAAACAGTTATGATGTCATAGTAATGAAATAGTATGAAGAAATTATTGATTTGATTGCAGGGTAGGGCCATAGAAACAGGCACGGGACTTCTACAATTAAAATATTCACGTTGAACAGGCCAATGGCAATGCCAAGTCGAGGAAAGGGATAATGCGTGGAAGGAAGGCATCAAGGGTGACTAAGATTCTTTACACCCAACATAACTAGAAGACACAGATGCAAGAGAAAATTTAGGTGCCGTTTTACAAGACAAAACTAGCATCTTTGAAAGCCCCGTTCTTGCTCAAACCAAACTATGTGACGCATAAATAAATAAATATTCTACAATGCATAAACTAGGTGATTAATTTCATTCGTTAGCCAGATGTCAAAACTGAAATGCAATTTGAAGTCTCAATCTTACACAAGAATATTCTATATTACACCAAATTGCCATTAAAATGGTTTATGCACAGAGAAAAGATTATTATATATATTTATATAGTTGATGATAGGCTCCTTCACATTGAAGGTAGATAGGCTAGGCTTGAGAATAGAAAAATTGTGATGAGTTTATCATTTTCTTCGGTCACGGTAAAGCCTTGTTCCATGAGTGGGAGCAATAGGAAAGCCCGTTGTAGTGGAAGAGGATTTAGTGTTACAAGGTCGGACATAACCGTGGCTCCCAATCCCAAACAAAGAAGGCAATTATCTAAGCAAGGAGTTCCTCTAACTCATGATTTACATGTACAAGAGGTTGTTCACAGGCAGTCTCAAATAATTAATCCTTGTACCAAGCCTAAGCTACAGTTCCATCCAACTTTCCTGAATGATTCCTATGAAATGTGCAGAAATATCTGCGCCGAATATGCCAAGACCTTCTATCTAGGTATTCTAGATTCTTTTCTTAATTGTAGATTCTTTCAATTAGCATGTAATCTAGCTGACATCTTCACCATTAACTATCAACAGGAACCTTGCTTATGACGGAAGAAAGACAGAAAGCTATATGGGCAATTTATGGTAAAAAAATGATATTTACATTACAAAACTAGAAGATAGAGAGAAAATTGCAAACAGATTAATATGAGGTAGTTTTGCATCGTGAAACCTTCAGTGAAACGATAGCTTTTCTCTCTGCAGTTTGGTGCAGGAGGACGGATGAGCTGGTTGATGGTCCTAACGCTGCGTATATGAGCTCTTCTGTTCTTGATAGGTGGGAAGATAGGTTGGAAGACATTTTCAATGGACATCCCTATGATATGCTTGATGCTGCTCTTACTGATACCCTCTCCAAGTTTCCGTTGGATATTAAGGTCTTCACTCCTTGTGTTACCATCATCAACTATACAACTATAACTAAGATCTATCTAATGAAGTGAACTCTTGTGTTGCACTAATTACAGCCTTTCAGGGACATGATACAAGGTATGAGAATGGATACCAGGAAATCCCGCTACAACAATTTCCAAGAATTATATCTTTACTGTTACTATGTGGCGGGAACTGTTGGTCTAATGACTGTACCAATCATGGGTATCGCACAGGAGTCTGTCATCCCTGTGCAAAGTGTATATGATGCTGCACTATATCTGGGGATAGGAAATCAACTCACCAACATTCTTAGAGATGTCGGTGAGGAGTAAGTTTCTTGTCGTTGGTTTTCTCCTCTGCTTACTATATTATTATTACTATCATAAAATGAAAAGTGATATGTTGTTGTATGACCTTACTGTTTTAATTAGTGCATTAAGAGGTAGAGTGTACCTTCCCCAAGACGAACTAGCCCAGTTTGGATTGTGTGACAAGGATGTGTTTTCAAGAAATGTGACTGAAAGATGGAGAAAGTTTATGAAACATCAAATTACGAGGGCAAGAATCTACTTCAACCGGGCAGAAGAAGGAGTTTCTCAGCTCGAAAAGGCCAGCCGTTGGCCAGTACGTAAACCCAAATATTATTATATTGTTTGCTGAAAGCACATTTTCTTTTTTCTTTTTATCCAATTTTCTAAATAAAAATCATTTTAATAGCATAGAAAAGGCATGATCTTCACTCATTGGGAGTAAAGGCGTTGGATCAAATTATTAAGATTGTCGTGCATACAAAGATGCAGCTGCTCTGTTATTGTTAAGAGACTTAATTATATAAAGTCCCTAAAAATAGTTAAGATATATTGGTATGTTAATCGCATATATGTTGATTATATTGCTAGTATGACAGAGGTTAACACTTTTCTCTGTGTATGATATGCAGGTTTGGTCCTCATTAATATTGTATCGTAAGATCCTAGATGCAATTGAAGACAACGATTACGACAATTTGACTAAACGAGCTCATGTGGGACGAGCCAACAAAATTTTTACGTTGCCTCTAGCTTATACTAGATCCCTCTCTAATCGCAAAACCAAATCTCGTCTTTCTTTGATAAGGCTTATTTAGCAAGCTAGTAGCCTAAAATAGTTTGTATGCGAAATTACGGATCCAATGAAACACACACTTGCTTTCCTTGTATAGACGATTTGAAAGAAAGTATTGACATCAATATTAAGGTGTATGAATGCGTGTCCTTTGCAATCGTCAACTTCCAGGATGGACGCAATATTTCCACTTTTTTTTATCCTTCCTTCCTAATATGACATAAATCATCATATCATTTTCAATAGTTATAGTTTCTTGTATTCTTAAAAATACTGAGTTACTTAAAACAAATTACGTATAAATAATATATTTTATTCTTAAGAAGTCTTGCAAACTTCATTGTAATACTTATAGCGTACCAAGTAATTTGCAGCAAGTTTTACCAGAATTTGATGCCTCGAGCTAGTTAAGAATTTCTGAAGCAAAAGGGCAAATTACATGCCAAATTGTCGATAGCCCTTAGGCCTAGGGGTAAGCGGACCTGTCTATGGACAAAGTTCTTCTCCTATATGTTCATATTAACTCTGCCATGATATCAAATTCTACCTCTTATCTGGCCAGGTAGGTAATGTCAAAAATTTGTAAAATTATGTATAAGTATATTTCTCATATATATATATATATATCTATTCATGTCATTTATGTATATATAGAATAAAAATATTACAAAATATTAAATATTAATAATATTTTAATCATAATTGCTTAAATCAAAATAATAACCTAATGTCTTTTTATTTTTTCTCTTAAAAAATAATAAAATATCTTAATACCTAATTTAAATAAAAGATAATAAAATAATATTCTCAACATTTCTCCATACTTTAATATTTATTTATTTGAATTTAATATTTTTTTCTTTTATTTTGCTTAGAGTATTTCTTCATTTTTTGTTTGTATTTCTTATCATCTTCTTTCTTATATGAGATCACATCTTCATTCAACTTCACTTTACGTATTTCTTCCTTTATCAACTTCATCTTATTTGTTTCTTTCAAACTTCTTCATGGTAGTACGGTTGACTCTTTGATGGACGTTGAAAACGGTTTCTTCATCTAACTCTTTATTTTTCTCTTTAACATCAAGTTTCTTCAAGAAATCTTTTTCATGTTTTTTCTTTGACTTTTCTTTTATATCATTGTTTGTAATCATCTCTTTTTTCATCAAATCTAAACTGAAACTTTTTTCTTTCATGTGAACTTTGAATATTTCCAAGTTATTTGTATCTTTAATCACACAAAGTTCGTGTTCAAAAGATACCTTATAACTTTTCTCCAGTAATTGAGCAACACACTAGTGCAAAAAGGGGCTTTTACGTCAGGTATTTAGGGCTTTTTACGTCGTATTTAAGTCTGACGTTAAAATGGGAGATGTAAATTTACGTCGGACCCTTTAGCCCGACGTAGATTTACGTCAGTTATCAAGACCCGACGTAATTTTGCGTGGCATATACCACTAAACAGACGTAAAAACTTTCAAAAATAAAAAAAAAAAAACAACAAATTTACGTCGCATATGGTATATGCGACGTAAATTTACGTCGCATATACCAATACGCGACGTAAATTTACGTCCCATATACCATATGCGACGTAAATTTACGTCGCATATGCCATATGCGACGTAAATTTGCTGTTTTTTTTTTAAATTGGGTTTATTTATTCTGTTTTACAACTAAAACCTATAAATATTACAACCAGACAGTCCAGAGGTTCAGTTTTCTTTAGCTAGTAAATTAAAAATATAATATTATATAATTCAAACTACATAATAAATCAATATAATACAAACATACAAACTAAAAAATCTATTACAAACTAAAAGTTAATACAAACTAAGCTACCTAAACTACATAATACACACAATATAATATGAACAAGAACTTAAAAAATTATGTACTAGAATTGTTGAACAAAAAATTTTACCCATTGTTCTCTAATTTGTGTAATATCAGATTCTGGTAATGGAGATGGATCTTGAAATACCTGAAACATGAATTTGACTCTTGTAAACATGCAACATGAATAAAGTTAAATAAACTTAACTAATGTTAAAAGTAATTACCTCCGTCCAAGAATCAATTAAACCCGCACAAACTATGGCTCTCATCCAATACATTACATAGTAACCACATTCAAACGAGTTTGTTTGCTTATTACACTGAAATGATGAAAAAAACATAATATTATTTTCAAAATTTAAATACAAACAATAATTATGGTATTCACTTATATAAATAAGTTTCTAACCTTAGGATAAATGAACTGCAAAGTCTTTGTTCTAGGTTTTCCACTTAGAACATTAGTTCTAGACACGATTCTAAGTGAAAAAAGTCATATATTATTCAATATGTCTTCACAATTTAAAAACATAATTAATGAATAAAAGATAAAGTTGCCCTTGTAATAAGCTTTTTATTTCTTGACTCGGTTTCCGATGTAATGAACAAAACCACACCACGGTGTAATCCCGGGCATGATTACAATTAACTGCCAATGAGACCTACATTGTATGACATAAAAATTAGTTACAAAAATATAAATTAAAATACAAATTAAAATACTAACCCTTCAATGTATGGAGCCAAATATATATGTCTTTTTAAGTCACTCATCCATGTTTGCATATATTGTTGGATTCCAACCTTTGTATTTCCAGATTTTTGGATGGATTGAGACTCAATAAATCCGTATACTTCGGATTTTTCTTGTTCCACACTCAATTTGTCAATCATTTTCCATTGTGGAGAATCAACTGGATGTCGAAGAAGATTGTCACATTTTCTACCATTTGCATGCCATGTCAAGTTTCTTGCATCTTCTTTTATGGCAAATAATCTTTTAAACCTAGGTATAATTGGCAAATACCATAACACCTTAGCAGGGGGACCATCTAGTTCTTCCTCACCACTACTTTCCTCAACTTTGTTTTTGAACCTCGACAAACCACATGTCGGACACATCTTTAATTTAGCAAAATCATTTCTGTACAATATACAATCATTAGGACATGCATGTATTTTCTTGTACTCTAAACCCATTGGACATAATATCTTCTTTGCCTCATAGTTACGAATAGGTAATGTATTATCTTCAGGAAGCATCTCCTTCAACAACTCCAATAATTCGGTGAAACTTTTATCAGTCCATCCATTTCTTGCTTTTAAAGTAAACAATTTTAAAGTTGCTGATAATCTTGTAAAACTACATCCTATGTACAATTGTTGCGCAAAATCAGATTTCAAAGAATCATATAGATGTGCTTTCATAAAATTTTCTTCACCAATATCACGTATCATATCCTCTAGATTATCATACATCCCTTCATCAAAATTGTCTGTAGTTGACACAGTTGGGATGTCTAATATTTCTCCATGCCATGTCCATATTGTATAACTCTTAATAATACCATAAACAAACAAGTGATCACGTATATCCTCAAGTTTATGACGAATTTGATTCAAACAACGAACACATGGACAATAATATGTCCCTTTCATAGCTTTTCCATTTTCACTAGCAAATTTCAAAAATTCCTCAACTCCCTTTTCGTACTCTTCACTAATACGACGTGCATTCATCCAACTTCGATTCATATTATGTTATAAAGTTTCGTCACTCCTAGAGATTTAAAAATTATATATAAAAAGAAATTAATATACAAATAACAAAGCACGTTCCAACAACAATGGAGTGTGTAAACCGAATGCACTCAAACAAATAAACAAATAATTACATTCCAATAACAATCCAGTGGAGACATTCATACTATAACGTGATTGAGATCCCCAAAAACAATCACGGATTCAATGTAAACATATAGCAATGACATAGAACACTAACCTCGAGTGTAGACGAAAAATGATTTCAAACTCGAATCCAATCGGGGAGAAATATCAAGTTCGTCAAATGACACACAATGTAGATGTTTTTCACTGTAAAACTGATCGAAAATGGTGTGCAGAGATAGTTGTTGTCGTCGTTCTCGTCGTTGTTCTCAAAAACCCTGGTTGCGCGAGACGAGGGAGTGTGCCAGGGAGGGAATAAAAGAGACTTTTTACGTCGCGCATCCCAGCACGCGACGTAAAAAGCCCTCTTTTACGTCGCACCTGGGTGGCGCGACGTAAAAGGCCTTCTTTTACGTCGCGCCACCCAGTTGCGACGTAAAAGAGGCTTTTTACGTCGCGTGCTGGGGTGTGCGATGTAAAAGTTTTGTCCCTTATTTACAAAATTGCCACCGCGTTTTATTTACGTCGAATATTTTTACATGCGACGACAATTGGGTGACGTAAAAGCCATTTTCTGCACTAGTGACACTTAACCAATTATGATTAATATCAGGAACATATAAAACATCAAAAATCAATTTGATACCCGAATGACTTGTTCATGTACCTTTCAGGTCCATTTGTTCTCCATTACCGATTTTCACTTTAGAAATATGTGATTCGTTGAGCTCTTTGAAAAGTTTTCGATCATGAGTCATGTGGTTTGTACAACCACTGTCTATAAGCCAACCTGTGGATTTGTTGATTGTAGAGCAGGTTGATGCAAGGAGAAGTACTTCTTCTACCCTATCCTCTATAACTTGAATGACTTCCTCTAGTTGTGATTTGCATATCTTTTCTATATGTCCCAATTGACCACATTTGTGACATTTCACATCAGGTCTCCACCAACACTTGTTGGGTGTGTGATTATTTTTCTTGTAATAAGGACAAACAGAAAAGACTTGTGATGTTGTACCTTTGTTATTCTTGGCTTGGAGAGAACCTCCATCATGATATAGTAAAGAACTTTCACCAGCAGCATGATCTCCTCTCATCAATCTCAGTTGCTCTTAAAGCTTGTAAAGTATGTAACACTTCTGACAAAGTAATATTAGACAAATCTGTTGTGTTTTCTAATAATGTAATAAATGTTTCATATCTCTCTGGCACAGTTACCAGAATTTTTTTCAACTATTCTGGAATCAGATAATTCTTTACCTAACAATTTTATTTTGTTAGTAATACCCAACAATATCTTTTGTATCTCAAATTCCCTTATCAATTTTAGAACTTTCATATCTCGAATTTTTTTCATCCCCTTCATATTGATCTTTCAAATAATCTCAAATTTCTTTTGGTGACTTTAACGTCATGATTCTGGTAAGGATCATTTGTAAAACATCAGCAAACAGACATGATTTAGTTTTTTCCTATCTCATTTTTCTTTATCTGAAATTTCATTTCAGCTACGGTGGGATTTCCAGGTAGTGGATCAACAATATAATATTTTTCTATAACTTCCCATATATCCAATCTTTCAGGATAGGATTGCATTCTCACAGCCCATAAGTCATAACTTTCGTCATCAAAAACTGGAATAACAACTTATGCAAAATTTCTTTCTCCTTTCATTATATCGGACCAAAGCTCAAATACCAATTTGTCGAGAATTTTTAGGGTTTATTGAGAATTTTTAGGATTTTGTATACGTGTATTTATGATATATCATGTGGATATATTTCTATTCATGTCCTACATGTATATATAGAGTAAAAATATTACAAAATACCAAATATCAATAATATTTTATTTATAACTATCTAAATCAAAATAATAATTTAATCACCATAATAAAATATGGTAATATCTAATTTAAATAAAAAATAATAAACTAATATTAACTCGTAGAAGAATCTATTCACACTCACTCTGCATCCACACTTTGTAACGCGTGTATCAAAGACATTGAAGCCTCTCTTCTCTGCATATCCATGAACCGATTGACGTATCTTCATACACCCAACATTTAATGGTCAAAAGAGGAACTTGAGTAGGTTTTATACCATCAACTTGAATCATTTCCCTAAACAGAGTTAAAGCTTTTATGGGCTGATTCCTGTGTGTATCCATCAATAACAAGAGTCCATGACACTGCGCTCCGAGTATGCATTTGATTAAATACAGAAGTTACAGAAATAAAATCAAGTAACTACGCCTCAGTGCGGCATTGGTAGAACACTTGCGCGGCTTCAACTAAAAGAAGCCAACTTGAGTACATTTGCAATAGCCCACTGAAAGCCAACCTTGAAAAAGTGGGTGCAGTTTGGGTTGGCAGAAGCGTGGGAGAGAAAGACAAAAGAGAAGGTGTCTGAAGAAAGAGAGGGGGTATTGGGTATATCTGAAGAAGTGAAGACCTTGGTGAGGGGAAATGGGCGGCGAGGGAATAACAGCAGATGACGTCGTTGCAGAGGAGTAAACAAGTGGGGGCGTTGTGAAAAAGGTAGTGAAAGAGGCCAGAGAACCGATTGAAAAGGGTAGTGAGAGGGGATTAGTTGCAAAAGTTGGGGTTGAGAAGGTTGTTTGGGAAGCAGAGAGAGCAAGCGTTGTGGGTGTTTAGGTTTGGAGAGGACGAAAGAGGTGTTGTTTCAGATAGATCGCGGCGGTGTATATGGATATGGGTGCTACTGCTACAAAACTTGAAAGTGATTGGGGGTGCTTTGATTTCAAGAAAGATCGTATCTGTTACCAAGTCTTGCTAGGTAAACCAACCATATTCCGCAAAACAATCATCGTTGGCAGGATATAAAATAAATGCAAAATCAAATATTTTAGATAATGTTTTTTTTTTCATTATTTAATTTTATAAGTTATGATAAATCAATAAATTTAACTTACGGAGGTAGGTTTATGATATAAATCAAATGCAATAGTGTGGTGTGTGAAGAGTGGCATTTCAGTGGTCTCCTCTCACGCTGGTTTACTACATTTTGATAGGCAATACCAGAGATAATTGAGAGCAGAGAATGTTCCATCCATAACAAAACCATATCACAAACAAATAGACAATTAATAAAAATACTATTGATTGAAGATGTGCACGGTGTCAGGTTCTATCCTTCTGCTTCTGTGCTGCCCTTCTTCCTCTTCTTCTTCTTCAATATCATCCCTTTGTTCTTTTTCTTCTTCTTCAATATCATCCCTTTGTTGTTATTCCAAAACCAAAACCAAAAAGAGAGTTGGCAATGGCATAAGCCATTTAAGTGTGGCCACCGCCGCCGCCACCGCCACTTTTGCTATGGCTAAAGATGTGTGGAGCCGAACATGTGGATCTGCATCTGCATCTTCCTCTCCCATTCCCAGGGAACGTGGCAATAGAAGGCAACAGCAAGGTACTTACTTGGACCGCAGCGTGGACATGGAAGAGCTATTAGCGGCAATGGGGGAGACCCAGAACGAGGATGAACTGTTTGCGGTGATGTCCCCCTACAGCGGGAGGCAGCTGTCTATGCGCTTCATGGTTTCCCTTCTCTCCCGCGAGCCCGATTGGCAACGCACCCTTGCCCTTCTTGATTGGATAAACGAAAAGGCTCTCTATTCCCCCTCCCTCTTCGCCTACAACGTCGTCCTCCGCAACGTCCTTCGGGCCAAGCAGTGGCACCTCGCCCACGGCCTGTTCGATGAAATGCGCCACAAGGGCCTTTCCCCCGATAGGTACACCTACTCCACCCTCATTACTTCTTTCGCCAAACACGGCTTGTTTGATTCTTCTCTCTTTTGGCTCCAGCAGATGGAGCAAGACAACGTTTCCGGTGACCTTGTTCTCTACAGTAATTTGATTGACCTTGCCCGCAAGTTGTGCGATTACTCCAAGGCCATTTCCATCTTCACCAGATTGAAAGCCTCCACCATTACCCCCGACCTCATTGCCTATAACTCCATGATCAATGTCTTTGGAAAAGCCAAGCTCTTCCGCGAGGCTCGCCTTCTTCTCCAAGAGATGGCTGACAATGCCGTTCAACCCGACACCGTCAGCTATTCCACGCTTCTTGCAATCTACGTTGAGAATCAAAAGTTTGTTGAAGCGCTTTCTCTATTCTCTGAAATGAATGAAGCCAAATGCCCCCTTGATCTCACCACCTGTAACATCATGATTGATGTTTATGGCCAGCTTCATATGCCTAAGGAAGCCGATCGCCTCTTCTGGAGCATGAGGAAAATGGGGATTCAGCCCAATGTGGTTAGCTACAATACGCTCTTGAGGGTTTATGGAGAGGCTGAGCTATTTGGGGAAGCCATCCATCTGTTTCGTTTGATGCAGAGTAAGGATGTTCCGCAGAATGTCGTCACCTACAACACTATGATTAATATCTATGGCAAGACCCTTGAGCACGAGAAGGCTACCAATCTCATTCAAGAAATGAAGAAAAAGGGTATTGAACCCAATGCCATCACTTATTCAACCATAATATCCATTTGGGAGAAGGCAGGCAAACTGGACCGGGCAGCTATCTTGTTTCAAAAATTAAGGAGTTCAGGAGTTCGAATTGACGAGGTTCTTTACCAGACAATGATTGTAGCCTACGAGAGGGCAGGTTTAGTTGCTCATGCCAAGCGTCTGCTGCATGAGCTCAAGCGACCAGACAACATTCCCAGGGAGACTGCAATTGCAATTCTTGCCAGAGCTGGTAGAATTGAAGAGGCTACCTGGGTTTTCCGGCAGGCTTTTGATGCTGGCGAGGTCAAAGATATTTCTGTGTTTGGGTGCATGATTAATCTTTTCTCAAAGAACAAAAAGTATGGCAATGTAGTTGAAGTGTTTGAGAAGATGAGACAGGTGGAATATTTTCCTGATTCTGATGTTATTGCTGTTGTGCTGAATGCTTTTGGAAAGCTGCGTGAATTTGATAAAGCAGATGCTTTATATAGACAGATGCATGAAGAAGGGTGTGTTTTTCCAGATGAAGTTCATTTCCAGATGCTGAGTCTATATGGTGCAAGAAAAGATTTCAAGATGGTAGAGTCATTGTTTGAGAAGCTGGATTCCAATCCTAATATCAATAAGAAGGAGTTGCATCTTGTTGCTGCTAGCATTTATGAGCGAGCAGATAGACTTAACGATGCTTCCCGAGTCATGAATAGGATGAATCAAAAAGCAATCAGAAGTCACGATTATACTCAGTAAACTGTGGAACTTGTTGACGAACATTCTTTTAGCCCTATAATTAGAGAACCTCTCATTTTCACAACTAAGATGTATATATATTTGATGTTCAGGAAGACGCATATTCTGAATATGAACATTCTGATTCTGAAAATTAATCCTTACAGCTCTATTTCCGGGCTTATCGGCAAACTTGATTTTTACATTGTCCTTTTAGATTAATTTTTGAAATGTTGCCTATGCCTCTTCTGCTGAAAGTTGAGCGACTCTTTCTTCGAGAATATGACTGTTTGTTGTTAATCCGATGAGAATTTTAATTGCAGATGTAACTGAAAACAATGACTATCTTTGTGCATTGTTGTTTCTCTGCTTATAGATGTTAGGATTCATTGGTTTTGTAAAATAACTGAAAACAATGTCTTTATTATATATTTCATTTTTTGTTTTTTTTTTCATTGTAGAATATACTTTTATTATACATTTTGAGTGTTTTCGAAATTCGATTAAGTGAATAATATGATTTAGTTTAATCTATTTATCATTAAATTCATTTTATGCAATTACATCTAGTATGAATGCAGCATTTTTCGTCTTGTTGTTCTTACGGGAGTCTTCCACGATGTGCAAAATAAATATATTAATCAATATTTCAATGTAGCAGTCAGTGACATTATATTTTATTTAAAACTCAAAATTGGTTATATAGAATCGCATATAGTGAAATAAACTTACTCAATCACATTGGAACGGTCCTACATAATAAGAGCAAGTTCTATACAGTTTCGCACCAGTACTAACAAATATCTAACAAACAAAATAATAAATAACAAACTGAGAAAATCATGACAATTCCTTCCTTGAACTAATGCATCTATACTAGTTATTTCAATATAGTTCGAAGCTTTTCAAACTAGTCTAGCTTTTGGAGTTTTGTTATAATGTTTAGTAGTTGATCCTCAGAGCTGCAAAAGCTAGTTTGACTACTCCATAAGTATAGAGGAGAATGAAATCTTACATTAATATGTTTATTTTTTCCATGAAATAATGTGTGTTTGGAAAGCTGTATTGTAAAACTGTTATCGCAAAAAAATTCAACTTTAGTTGTATCTTTAAATCCAATTTGTTCTAGTAATCTACTCAACCAAACACATTGACAAGCACATAGAGTTGTTGTCATATATTCTGTCTCTGTTATGGACAAAGCTACCACATTTTGTTTCTTGGATGTCCAAGAAATCGTCCATGTCCATAGCATAACACATATGCAAAAGTGTTTTTTCTATCATTCAAGTCTCTAGCATAGTCATTATCTGAAAATGCTAGTAGTCTTAAACTGGTAGTCCCTTTCTTATACCTGATTCCAAAATTGGTAGTCTTAAACTCACCATGTACATTGGATCAGGTATAAATAAATCAAACTCCCAACTAGTTGTTTAAACAAAGTCTCTTAAACACCTCATTCCCCTGTATTCTTTGATAGTCGAGTCCCTGACACCATGAGATTTTTCACAACATTGTTGTCTTGCATTCTAAAACGGGATAAATTTCTTGTGCATATCTCCTTTGACAAACAAAGATTCCAGTCGAATATTGTTTAACCTCAATGCCAAGAAAGTGACTCATTGTTCCCAAATCAGACATGTTAAGATGAGCCATCATAGATTGCTTAAACTCCTCACACATAATTCCATCATTCCCAATGAATATCAAATCATCAACATATAAATTGGCAATTAAGATTTTACCTTCCTATGATTGAGTGAACAATGTGTGTTCACTGGAACATTTTTCAAACTGTTATCGTGCAAAGTAAGTCTCAATTTTGTTATACTAAGCCCGAGGTGCCTGTTTGAGGCCATACAATGCTTTCTTCAATCAATATACTTTTTGTTCTTCCCCATTCTTGATAAAACCTTCACGTTGTAGGACAAAAACATCTTCTTTTAAGTTCTCTATGAAGAAAGGAACTCTTGACATCAAGTTGAAACACCTTCCAACTAAATTGAGCAGTAGTAGCCAAAATCAATCTAAAGATATCCAATCTAGCAATTAGAGCAAAAACTTTTGTGTAGTCAATTCCATGTCTTTGTGCATATCCTTTGCTACAAGTCTTGCCTTGTGCTTTTCTACTTTGCCTTCAACATTTAATTTGGTTTTAAAAACCTATTTGACTCTAATTGATGTAACTCCATCCGGTAGTAATGTGAGTGATCGATGTCGTACTCGGTCAAATAATTAAAACAGATAAATGTAGTACTAGGAAGCTTTCCTAGATCGTCTCCTAAAGACCACGAATTTCTATCAAAGCTTGTCAATTTTTCGAATTAGAACAACAACAAAAATGGGGAATTTTCAGATTTAAAATATTATAGGAAACATAACAAAAACATATTATAAAAATGTGGATTAAAAATAGATTAGAATGCAATTGATTTCCGATTCCAATGCAGTGTCACTTATCCTAGGTTATGAAATTAATTCGAAATTAACCAACTAAGAAAAAATAAATATCAAATTATATTCCAATCCAAAATTAATCAACTAAGTGAAGATTAATCCCAAATTAGCTTTAACCCTTATTCCAATATGAAATTAACTAACTAAGCGAAGATCAATCCCAAATTTTCCTTAACCTTTATTCCAACATGAAATTAACCAACTAAGCGAAGATTAACCCTAAATTATCCTTATAAAATTAAGCATTGCATACATCACACAATCTCATCTCTAACACAGAATTAAGCAAATTGTGATATTAGTTTCGGTTTATTAAGCATAAATAGATTATAATTCAACACTGAGATTAGAAGATGAAGAGTTAAGAGAACAAACAAATGAAATTGAAGAGCAAAACCTCAAAGATCTACTTGCATTCTCCTCAGAAAATCAATACAAAGATTTAGCTATCCATGGAAAATCGAAAACGCAAAAGAAGAGACATAATTAAAATCGAAACAAGAATTAAAATAATGACAAAAGAGTAAACAAACTTGAATACAAATTGCAGAAAATGAAAGGCGGCTGCATGGCTGCTGCGTGGTGTCCTTCCCTCTCAAACCTACATCTCACTTATATAAATAACCCTAACCCTAATCTTAATCTAGGTTTGGACCCAACTGGTCCACAAAACACATCATAAGTTGGCGTCAGTGCAGATTCGTGAACTTCAAACACGTGCATTATTTTCAATAGTTATCCAAATTAAGCAATTCTGGTCTCCTTTGAAAGTCTTTTGAGTTAGCTTTAAAACACCACTATTTCTACTATTTTTGAAGGTCTAATTAATTTAGGAGACTTAAATTACTGAAGCATGTCCATTGGGCTGGCCTAGTGCGCTTGACCCATTTTAGATAATTTATGTAAAATCCAATTTAGCTCCGAATTGAATGATTCTAGATTCTCTGGAAAGTTGAATGTGTGTAGTTTATAATGCTTCTAGAATCATGATTTTTGAAGCATTGTAGAAAAAATGATAAATAAAACAGTGAACCAATGTTAGTACCCATATAGATTATAATATGTCAATTGACCCAATTTTCCAAGCCCAAAATTGTTTTAAACTGTAATATGACATCTGACCCAATCTTCTAGGCTCAAAATTGTTTTAAACTGTCCTAAAAATAATAATGAACAAAAATTAGATCAAATAGATTCAAATTAATTAAAATCTGAATTATTGGTCTAATGAAGCCCAATTAATAAAAATTCACTAATAACAGAAAGTTAAGCCCAAAACACTAATTAAAATAAGTTAAGAAAGGGAAGAAAATATGAGAATATAATGACTCATCAAAGAACCTTACACTTAACCTTTTGCACTCCTAGGCAAAATCAAGAAGCAAAGCAAGGAAATAAATTCAAAAACATTAAAGAAAATCATGCAAAGGATAGAAACAAAAACAAAGACAAACAAAAACATAAACAAATATACATACTCCTCAATGAAACCTGAGAAACGAAAGGAATAGACAACCTCCAACATTCAAAAAGTCAAAGAAACCAGACATCTATGGACATCGTCCAAACAATGAAAAACATGTCAAGAAAATCAATATGCTCAAGAGGTGAATGAAAAACAACAAAACCTCTCAAGATATGCACTGTATCACTCAAGTGTTTAGGCTACTATTTACTCTCAAAGCACTCATGAAAAACAAGCACCACATAGACTTGGCAAGCATCTAAAATCAACAACCAAAATCACATGCACATAAAGATCAAAAAGATTTTCAAAGGTTGTAATGGGGCTAAGGACAAGGTATGAAATATATGGATAAGTAGCTTAAAGACTAAAGAAAATATATGAGCAATAGGGAATGAGTAAAAAATACACATGAAAGTAAATCCACCAATTTCAATCCTCACACAATGTCCAAACATATTTCTTTGCTTTATATATATATATATATATATATATATATATATATATATATATATATATAATCTTTCTTTTCTTTTCTTTTCTCCTTTTTCTTTTAGAATCGAAAACAAAAGAAAACGAGATAGCCACAATTGAAGAATCCAAGAACTAGCACAACTAGTTACAACCCTCCACTTTTTTAGCACCCATTCCCAAAACAATTCCAAAGCTCCAAAATTTCCTAAGGTAAAGTAATCGTGATTTTTCAGGCTAAGGGCTTGTAATGAGTTATAAAACAATGAAAAAGGGTCATCGCCTCAAAGGGGCTATCAAAGGGAATGATTCAAGGTAGGCTCATTTGGCTAGAGGCTTATAAGAATAAAAATGTCTAAATCATCTCCAACATGCATGTGAATCAAGAAGCATCAAAAAGAGTCAAGTCAAGGTCACTGTGCAAGCAATCAAGAGGCATAACACACAAGAAAGAAAGAATAGAGAGTGACTCAAAACCTCACACAGGATAAATCTGTCACTTCCAAATCAACCTCTCAAACCTCAAAATCCACTTGACATGAAAAGAAGAACAAGGATTTCAATTCATAGAATATCAAGCAGCTCATATCCAAGAGTGAAGAAAGTTCCCAAAACATAAACAAAACCC